CCGGCCGGTGCCCTCGCCCGGATCCTCGCCCGGGCCCGCCGCCGCTGGCCGGGTGTGTGGCCTGGGCCGGTGAACTCAGCGCGCACTGGTTGAACCCCAAAGTGTTTCGGGACCCTCGAATGCGGGGTCCTGAACCAGAAAGGAGCCACCCAGGTCTTGACCTCAGGGGGCTTACACCCTAGTGGGAGGAAGCAACCCCAAACAAATGTGAGGTCACTGCAGAAAGCCATAGGGGTGACGGGAGCAGGGGCGCAGCTTCTAAGGAGCTTGAGGCCCCAACTGCCACGGTCGCCTAAAGGAGCCAGGAGAGCGGGCCAGGGAACCAGCCCGCGGAGGCCTTGCGATGGGACCGCGCTGACAGGCATTAAGGGAATGGAGAGAAAATGGTGAGCACGAGGGAGCGAACAGGAGAGAGAGAGTTGGGCGGGACAGGGGCCTGCAGGACGACTTGCTTGATGTGCGCTTTATTTTTATTTTAGGATTTATTAATTTACGCATCCAAGAATTGGACTACAGGCCAGAGGTGCGGGGGAGGGAGAGTGAGAAGATTCACCAGTGACAGTGGGGGAGCAGAGCAGGCAGACTGATGACGTACACTGCTGGGGGCAGTGGGTGAGACAGGAGAGGGCTGTGGGCCATGTGGGTCAGCAACCTGGGGGGGGTGGACTCTCGCGCAGTGGCTGCCTCAGTGCTGCACTCTGACCCGTTGCGTTTTAAACTCAGTAGTTTTTCATTCACTAGACTGTAGACTGCGGGGGGGGGGGGGAGTAATCATAGATATGGGGGGATGGACACTACACTGTGGGTGTAGGACTGAAGGGACATTGGCTGGGAAGAGGGACAGATACCCAGTCAGATGGGTGCTTTTCAACCAGATAAATATCAGCAAAAGACCAGGGAGAAGGTGCTGAGCTGTGCAAACATAAATATTTTGAAATCAGAGAAGCAGAGGAAAGGAAAACTAGAAAGCAATATCTGGGAAGCAGTCGGAGGCTGGAGCCCTTGGAATTGGGAGCAGAGGGTGGGAGACCCAAGTGTGAAGAGCCAGGCGAGGTGTTGTTCTAAGGTCTTAGGAGACTGCATGTGTATTGTTTTCTAGCAAAGCAATGAGTTAATAAGATATCAGGTAGTAACAGCTGCTAGAGCAAATGTGCCACAAAATTCCTGTGGCCAACACAACAGAGCTCCTCTTCACACGAAGTCACACAGATGTTCCCCTCAGGCAGGGACCAGGAACCTGAGCTCCTATGAGGGATTGCCAACACCTGATTCCCGGAGTCACCCTGGGACTCCGCACAGTTCTAGGCAGCCAGAGGGGGGGAGAGCACCACAGACGGCACATGGGAGATGCTCATGGGCTGAGCCTGTTGCATCGCCCAGAATTCAGTCAGTGGTGGGCCCTCCCTGGGGCACAGCACTGCTAAGCCGCAGCCACTTCACGAATTCAGTCCCTGGCCACGGGGTGGCCCACATGGCACCTCTCCTGTCTCCCTGCTGCTCCCCTCAGCAGTGTACTTTGTCCAGCAGCCTGTTCTGTTCCCTACTCTGTCTCTGGTGAATCCTCTCACTGCCCCTGCACCCCAGTTTTATATGCATAAATAAATCTTAAAAAAAAATTCAGTCAGTGGCACTTCTTCCACATAAAGGAGCCTGGAAAATGCTTGGAGCTGTGTGTGGCCAGGAAGAAGGAGAAATAGGTTTGGAGGCCAGTAGCAGAGAGTAAATCTCTCTTCTCTGAATAAAACCCCCAGCCCATCTTGCCTTTTTTACTTGGCGACACCTGAGGTAGATGGTGTTGTAACCACATGCAAGGAAGTATCCCCATTGTCTTCACCAGCGACCTAGTATTTTTTCCAGTTCTATCGAAAAGTAGCTGGCATTACAGCTCTGTCAGCTTAAGGTATACACCATAAACAGTTTGACTTAATATATTGTGAAATGATTACCACAGTAGTTTAGTAAGCCTCCATCATTTCATAAAGATAGTATGAAAGAAAAAAAAAACAACCTATTCTTCCCTTGTGATGAGAATTCTCAGGGCCTACGCTCCTGTCTGCACCTCATACAGCAAGCTAGCAACAGTCAGTGTGTTGTACATTTTACTCTCTTGCTTTTTTATCTTATAACTAGAAGTTTGTGCCTTTTATTTTTTTTTAAGATTTATTTAGGTATGCATTTGGAACTGGGGTACACAGGCCAGAGGTGCAGGGGGTGAAAGGACTCACCAGAGACAAGAGTGGGAGCAGAACAGGCAGATCGATGAAGTCCACTGCTGAGGGGTGCACCGGGCAGGTCAGGAGAGGTCTGCCGCGCCCTGTGGGTCACCTCCGGGGCAGGCGGGGATCGAACTCATGCTGAAGTGGCTTTAGCTGTGCTGTAACCCGCTGTGCCACCAGGGAGGGCCCTGTTTTGTACCTTTAACCACCTTTCTCCAAATTCTTTTTCCTGCCCCTCACCTCTGGTAATCACAAGTATGATTTATTTTCCTTTGATTTTGTTTTTTAGAATTAGATTTTCTCATATAAATGAAATCATATTTTATTTGTCTTTTCCTGAGTTATTTCACTCAGCATAATTTCTTCAAGGTCCATCATATTGCAAATGGCAGGGTTTCTTTCTCATGGTTCCAGTGAGAAAGAGAAAGAGCTTCACATTTTTATCCATTCATTTACTGATGAACATTTAGGTGGTTATCATGCTTTGACTAGTAAATAATGCTGCAGTAACAGTGGGTAGAGAGAGCTTTCCAAGGCAGTGTTTCTGCTTTCTCAGGCTCTCTTCCCAGGTTGCTGTGCCATGGGGTACTTCCATTTTTAATTCTTTGCGGATCCTCCCTACTGTTTTCCATTGGTTTACATTCCACTAACTGCACAGAGTTCCCTTTCCTCACCCTCACTTGTTATTTCTTGCCTTTTGAAGATAGTCATTCAAACAGGTGTGAGGTGATAATTTCCTTGTGGTTTGACTTCCATTTCCCTGATTAGTGATGTTGAGCCTCTTTTCATGTATCTGTTGGCTATCTGTATGTCGTCTTTGGAAAAAATGTCTATCCATCTAGTTCCCTCTGCCCCTTTTTTTCTTTTGCGTTTAAGAACTGGGGTATAAGCCAGAGTTGCACGGGAGTGGGGCATGAGAGGATCCGCCAGAAAACAGGCAGACTTTTGAAATACACCACCAAGGGCAGCAGCAGGTAAGAGAGGAGCGGTCTGCTGCATCCCCTGGCCAGGGATGGAACTCAGGCCTTAGCTGTGATATATTGAGACTTAACCCCTGGGCCACCAGGGAGGCCATACAGACGACATACAGAGGTACAGGACAGAGGTGCAGGGGGCGAGAGACAGAGCGGGGAGTAGAACAGGCAGATGGACTGAAACACACTGCTGAGGGGAGCAGCGGGCGGGTCAGGAGAGGTCTGCCCGCGCCGTGTGGGTCAGCTCCCTGGCCAGGGATAGAACTCGTGCTACAGTGGCTGCGATAGCTTCATAGTGCTGTGCTTTAACCTGTTGCGCCACCAGCGAGGGCCCAGCCCATTTTTTTTTAAAGATTTATTTATTTCTCTATTCATACAGAACTGGGGTACAGGCCAGAGATCCGGGGCGGCGAGAGGCTTCACCAGAGACAGAGTGGGGAACAGAACAGGCAGATCGACGAAGTCCACTGCTGAGAGGAGCAGCAGGCGGGTCAGGAGAGGTCTGCCGCGCCCTGTGGTCACCTCCGGGGCAGGCGGGGATCGAACTCATGCGGAAGCGGCTTTAGCTTCTTAGTGCTGCGCTTTAACCCGCTGCGCCACCAGGGAGGGCCCCAGCCCATTTTGTAATCAGGTTGTATTTAGAACTCTTTATAAATAAAGAGCTCTTTATATATTTTGGATTTTAACTCCTTAATTTGATTTATAGATGTTTTCTTCCATTCTTAAAGTGGTCTTTTCATTTTGGTGATAGTTTCTTTTGCTGTACAAAAGCTTCTTAGTTTGACGTAGCCCTACTCATTTATTTTTGTTTTTGTTAGTCATGCTTTTTAGTGTTTTATATATCTGTGTATTGCTGAAGACCAGTTTCAGCTGAGGTAGTGAGGGTCTCCTGCAGGAAAGGACGGCATCGGCGAAGGAAAGAGAGAGAAAAGGAAAAAAATGAGGTAGAAAAATGAGGAGATGCAGACACCTGTTCAAGGTGAAAGCATCTTCTGCCGATTGTCCCAGCAGGTCTTTATTATAAGCAAGTAGTGGGCTTACATCGGTGTGTGCATAAAGCAGAGAGCTTAACAATCACCACATTTTTCTTAAAGACAGCTCAGGACTTTTTGATCTCTTATTGAGACTGTGATATTCATCATTCATTAATAAAAAGTACAACTGATACACAAGATGTTCCTATAGTGACCAGTCATTAATAAAATATTTCTATGGTGATCAGGCATCAAACAGAATATCCCTAAAATGATCAGTTATCAAACAAAATATTCCTATGGTGATCAGTTAACAATAAACAAAATGTTTCGATGGTGATCATTAGCGATTACAACTTAAGCAATCATTTTGTTAATTTCTCAATGAACTTACATCTTAAAGGTACAGGATCTAATGTTAAAGAACTGAGAGTCAGAAAAACACCAACACTGAGTGCACTGACATTTCCCTGCCCCTAAGGAAAAAATCCCTTTTTTGATCTACAAAAGAAGCTTCTATTACTCACTATTTCTGTAATTGTTTTTTCAACGTAGTCTCTATATCTAACATAA